AGCATTTCGGGCCTGATGAATGGTTTAAGCCTGTGGTGGTCTTAATGCTTAAACACGTAAATGCTATACTGTAGATTGTAAAACCTTTTTCTTCTGACCCATTTTCTTTAATGTGTAGGCCAGGTTCTTTTTCTAAAGCCACCCATGTAACTCTTAAAATGTATCTTTGCAGTTTTATTTTAAATGGCATTATAGCAGAGAATTGATCATCTTTAAAGTGGCACCTGTTTCTTTAATTCATTGTGGCAAGAAAGGTACTTCAATGGTTTTGGTGACAGGGAAAAATCCCTTCACTTTATAATGTGGTACGACTAGCACCATGGAATAATATTTTTCTCCAGCGTTCAGTTTAGTTACTGTGTGCAATACCTTAATTTATTTTTCTCATTGTCATGTTGTATGTATCTGGAACATTTTAGAAAAGTGCTATTCAACAGAAGATGAGGTAAGACATAATACTGTGAGTAATAAGTGCAAGGCAAGGCAAGATGCTTGCGTGGTGTTAGTTTGTGGTTTGGAAAAAAACTGGTTTCATTTAGATAGGTACGTAACACCCGCCAGAGGTTGTATTTTTATTCCATGTTGTCTGACCCTTAAAATTTGAATTTAAGCAAAGTTGACTTCGATGTTCGAGAATATTTGCCTTTCACCCTTGGGTACATAGGAGAACCCCTTATTAAAGATGTTCTTAAAATCACTGCCAAGGAGGCAGATCACCAAAAACCCAGCAGTGACGTGCCTCAGTCCAAGATTGATTTACTGGTGGTATCCATGTGCTACCACACTGCAACATGCCCGTCTGATAATAAGGCTGGAAAATGGAGCTTTCCTGGAAAAGTTGTTTGCGACTTGCTATTGGCAAGCTATTTAAGCAGCTAATTGGGGTTTTGACAGCACAATATGCACAAATCGAAGTCAGATTTGAATCTGTTTCTCTTTCAGTCATTCATAGTAGTTTTATCTTCACAGCCCAAACGCAGATGATGTGCTTTATGCATTTCCTTCCTTTTTTACAGTCTAGTTTGAGGTGACCGGGGTGGTTGAGTGCAGAATATGTAATGCATTCTATTTTGTGTATGTCATGAGTGAGATGGACCTTGTTAGCAATATGTGCTGATAGAGCTTCCAAAATGTTTGAAAGTAATTGGCAGTGCCTTTTAGGTTACAGCTAGATCAATTTAATTATAAATTACTTTGAGAGCTGTAAGTAAATTTGACAGTATTGCACTTAATAAAATAGGACTTTTCTACCCTCACTAAAATATTTATCCTGTTTACATGCTTTAATTTCAGAGTGATAGAATCACATCCATTAAATTTTGTTTAGTTTTACTCCAGTAAATGCATGCAGTCTCTGATTGTGTTGTTAGTGGGCATACATTACACCTGATACAAATGGCTATAGCCTCACTCTCAGGTACCTGAAAGATTGCATAACTCCCACATTAAAGTCAGCTTGAGAGGCCAGGCTTAAAAGAAAGTTGTGCTAAATTAATTCGGCCTACACTGAACACGCAGCTCATATAGAATTTCTGTACACATCTCAAATGGTATTTTGTGGACATGAAATACATGGTAAAAAAACAGCATTGTTTACAAAATTACAGTGTACTCTGAATTCCAAGTAACGAACTTTAAAAAAGCATCTTTCATGTGAAATCAAACATTTAATTTGGCCTGGAATTAGTTAGTGTGTTTTTAGAAATTCTGTAGCCTACTGTATATCTTTAAGAAAATTAAGTTCCTGTTTCTTGTTGCAACTTCTTTATAATTACAACTGGTTTAATTATAGTATGTTGTGTCCCAGCACTCAGGTTTTAGATTATTTAATATTTAGCTTCATAAGTGAAAAAATGGATGAATGAAGAAGAAAGTAGTTTTTGATTCATGTTAAAAACAGAGAAGCCTATGAAAATCCAGGGGAGTGTAAGAAATTTATTTATGGTAGAACAGGGGAAGATATCCAAGAATGTGGATATATTTCTAAATGTTATGCTTATAAAGTCTTATTTTGTCCCTCATGCATTTTTGGATTTAGAAAAAGAGGATGTAACTATTTTTCCTTGGTGGATCATTCAGGATTATTTGCCATTTTATTTTTGACTAAGATTCTGGAAACAACTATAAAACTATATTTGGCAACACAAGTTTAAATTAAGCTCTTCGGCTTTGTTATTGTTGTATTGTACATTAAGATCCAGGGTAATTTATTGTTCAAATTACTCTTGGTCTTTCTACTGCAATACTTTAATTTCAGTGTCTCTTTACTCACTGTTTCCTCTTTTTAGTTTCTCATGCATTTTCTAACAACTACAGGCCTACGTTTTTAAACCATAAAAAAGTTACTGTGTATAAAAAAACTCTTTCTGAACTTGAAATCCATTTCATGTTCAGCCAGAATCAACAAGCTTATTATTTCAATTATTTTGTTTTAATTTCCAGACTACACTTCTTAGTCCTTCTTAGGCCTTCAAGGATAAGCCAAATCTTTCATGCATTTCAATAATATTTTGAAAGGTTCCTTTTGTAACGTTTTCTGTTGTTTTAGCTCCGTTTTCTATTCTTGGAGTGGTGAAATTTTACAACATGTAGTGTGAGAAGCCTGGTATCGCTACCCTTTTTTTTTCCATTTGGAACCAAATACTGATCAGTTTCTAAAACTAGCCAGGTTTTCCATCCAGAGTGTATCCTGCTTTGCCTCCCCTTGCTTGCTGAGTTAGACTGAAGCTTCCCCCACAACCAAGAATTGGAGAAAGTGTTTAGAAAATAGATGGATGGTTAATGGTTAACTCGGAGATTAATGCATATAGAGCTATTAATAAACATTCTTAACATAGAATATGAAGGGAGAAGTTAACTCAAAGAAAAGCATGTTGCATCGAGAAGTCCGTATTTCTCTGTAGCAGTGGATATAAAGCTGGAATATTTCATGTGTACATGCTAGTTGTTGCCAAAGAGCAATAGCAGTAGCTGAAGGAAATTTATTGTTGGTTATATATTGGTGCTATTAAATTGTATTTCATAGTTGTTGAGCTTATTTTTTTTTGTCAAATGAGATGCATTTTAAGCTTAATACCAATATACCAATAATCAAAATTTCTTAGAACCAAGTATTATTATTATTATTTACATTTTAGGTCTAGAAAATCACTGTATTTCACTTGGTTGCCTAAGAGGACTGGATTGTCACAATAAGAAAACTCTTGCATGATGATATCGATATTACTCGGTACAGTAGTTAAGAAGGTAGGTTATGTCAAATGTGCAAACTGTTGAAAATTGGTACAGTGTAGCTAAGTTCATGGCATGAAGGGAGCTTGTCTTTTTCAATCCATTCTGTCACTTTGCAGCCAGGAAAAATACTTTTCTATTTTCTGTGCTTTTGTAACACCTGAAGCGCTTGTAATGTGTTTTGCTGACATCTTCAAAATCAAGACCTCAAGGGAAGAGCCTTTGTTGTAGCATATATTGTTGTGAAAATGGGTTCTTACAGTGGGAGAACAGGTAATTAAGTACATGCTTTGTTGTAACAAAAATTTGTAGAAAAGGTTACAATATTTTCTCTGTTTCTCAAGTTGTTGAAAAATATGGTTTTCAACACGTTAAAGATTTACATAGCATACTATAATAACAACTATGATATTTTAAATTAAGGTCCTTATAAGGTAAATATTCCATACTTGGAGGTTAATGAGTAGTCTACATTAGGCTAAACTGGCATCTAATGATAATGCAATGGGTGCTAATTGAGGGTGGCATATTGTAAAATAAATGCCAAAACTGAAAAATACTATTTATAAATAATGTAAGCAGTGCCTAGTATTTTGAAAATATTCTTGCCCACAAGAACAAATGAGTTTGACACCCCATTTTAAGCAGCCAAAGCTTATTACTTTTAGATCTGTGTGGCTTCCCTACTGCATATGGCAGGCATGGAGTATTCTGCATCAGGCTGTAGATAGACCAGTGATATTTACACCAAAATCAGTAGCAGTCAGAACAATTTTTTATTTTGATTTTCCATTCATGTGTTGGCACAGACTAGAGATTTTACTTTTAAGGTGAAAAGGCAGCTTCTCCTGTAGAATTGTGTTTTACTTTTCCCAAAACACCCCATTTTGACCTTTTATTGTTATCATTTTGGGAGATATTTACAGTATAAGTTTATGGGCTCCAGTAATTACTCCAATAAATGTAAGAAATGTAACTTTGGAGATCAAAGTCTTCAGTGTAACATTTGTAAAAAAAAATTCTGTAGCACCAAAAGGGGTCATTTTAAATAGCATTTGTTTTCTACACAAATCTGGCCTACTACGCTGTGGAAATTAAAGTGATTTCAGCCAGATCATCTTTATTCATGTTGGTGCACTAAATTTCTTCATTAGGCCATCTGGAGAGCCTCTATGGTATTCTGCTCTTTAAAAATAGAGCACATGGACAGCATGACTTAAGAATGTAAACGTTTCTGAAGAGGTTTGAAGCCTTAAAGTGGCAGTTCAGGTTTGCAGGAGCAGTTACAACAGCTGAAGGACACGAATAAATTAACCCATAAGGTTTTATTGGTTTAGAACAGAATTACTTGACTTCAAGGGTGGAATTAAAGAGTTCTACAATATAGCCTTGTAAGCTTCTGTGTGTCCTGTTTTATAACATTAACAATTAAAACACACTTTTTTTCTTTTAAAAAATCATGTACTCTTGAAAATTCTCATGAATATGTGCATGTGCAGTGCCTTACCAATATAGTATTCTTTACATAAACCAATCATAAAGCTACTAATAAACTAGTAATTATAACTTTTACCTTTTTCCATCAGTGCTTTTAAATGAGTAGGATATCCGTTATTTGCAGTGCTTTTTTCACTGTAATGCTTCTGTATTGCATTAGGTGACGTTATCATCCCGATTCACATGAACAGTTTGAAAAGCCCTGCTTGGAAGCAAAATTTTAGCCTATGAATGTTTCTGCCTAATTTGGCATTTCTCTTTCTCTTCCTCAGTGCCTCAGCCTGGGTCACCCTTCACAATCCACAGAGCAGGACTTACCTCTTTTCCAGGAGCTGTTCTCATCTGACTCCTCGCAGAAGTACAGCTACCACCAAGCCCTGCACGTAAGTGAATCGACAGGTTCAACCTGCTAGACTCTATTCACGTTGCTGGCATTCCTGTTTTGATGCTGTGACCAGGGCATCTTGCCCCAGTCGGGAGAGGAGATAACTGGGCCGCAGTTGAACTTTTCTCTGTCATCTGGACCAGTAGAGGCTGAGCAGAGATTGTATTTATTCTTTCCTTGAGACAAGCATTGCGCTGATGGGAGATGAAGTTAAGAATTTCAGTTGGTACACAGAGCATATACTGTACAGTAGAATAGCATGTAGACATTTCCTAACTTTAAGAAAAGCTCTTTTTGGATGCATGTTGTGTAAAGCCTCGGTCACCCTTAAATACTAAAATTACCTGATGGTGCATTTTCATGAGCTACATAACTTTCTGTGGTTGCAATATAAGAGTGCAGAAGTAGGTTTAGTCACAGCCAAAATACTTTTTTGAGTGATGTGTGTTTAAAGAAAGGGTTCGCTTTTTTTTCAGTGGACAGACAGATAATGTATTCCCGCTTCTTTTATTGTATGAACTGCAAAACCTATTTCTTTGCCAGATTTGCAAGAAATTGTTACAGTCAAATGTGAGAATTACAGGCCTAAATTATAGTCTAGTCTTGACATAGAGTAATTATAATTTGTTCCTACTGATAATTTTTCTTATGTAGGTTGATATTTAATGTTTTTATATTTAAGATTGAATGAATACTGTTTTTTTTCTGTTGCTTAAATAAAAAGAAAAACTTGGATGAGGAATTGTTCATGGCATATTTTTGTTTTACTAGATTTCAATGTTTGTTCCCTCATTTCAAAGTCCATTGTACGTAGGCAGTACAGCTTTTCATCAGTGCTTTATTTTAGATTTCTGGAGGAGGCACTAAGGAAAGTTATGAAGCTCATGCCTTTGTTGGCAGATCGTTTGCTGGGCTTATTAAAGAAGTAAAGACAGACATGAAAAGCAATATGATTTGTGGAGGTATAACTTGGTTTTTGGATTCATAACTTGGCTCAGAGCTGAAAACTGTAATTTTATTGTATGTTTTTGCCACCTGCTCCTCTGTTTCATTTCCACCTTGTCAGAGTCTGCATATTTTGGGTGTAGCGTTTCTGACTTTCTCAGTCCACTACAGCTGCCAGATTTGTCAGAATATCACATTTGTCCTTTTTTGGGCAGCAAACTCTCAGAATGGTAGAGATAGAGCTTGGAGGCAAATATCAAGCACTAAGACTAATGTGAATTGATGCAGAATAACTCCTCTGCTCAGTATAAACAGTGCATGCATTACATTTACTTTATTTATAACCATGAATATCAATGGTGTCCCAATTTGATAGTACTATTAACTTTAACAGTATTCTTTCAGGTACTGTACTAGGCATTTGATATTTGACAAATAGCTTTGGTAGCTGAAGGTTACTATCTATCATTGTCAAGAGTTGACTGAGGACTGGTATTTTTGATGCAATAATTGGAAATTTACTGTACAAGACTTCTTTGGGACATACAGTAGTTCCTTAAGATTCACTGCAAGTGAGTCTTAGGTTGTTAAGCCCACCATGGAAGAAACCATATTAAGAGCAACACTGTTGAGATGTTGGGATTTTGAGAAAGTTGTTGATCACAGATGGCTTTGTGGTTATGCTTTGCATCTGGGCAGTTTTTCTGTGGTCCCCACAACTGGAGGTTTTACAATCTTAAAGATACATACCTAATAATACAGTGTGACTTCTACCTCTTCAGCACTGAGTCTGGTGGGTGGATCGTAAGAAAATCACAAATCTATTCAGTGATGTTTTAATAAATATTGTTTCTTCCATTGAACAAAACGTTTTTTTTAATACAGAAGTGTGGATGGGTCAATGCAATAAAACTGCAAGGAACAGTATTTGTAGTAGAAGTAGTAATAACGAGCAATAGAAATCAAGCATGAGAGAGTCTTCAATATGTCCACAATAATCGGCTATCCCAGCAAAATAAAATTAGTTAGAAGGTACAGGAATTGTAGATCACCACGGTTGGCATTTTTCTGTTATTGGTCTGAGTCTAGGTCACATACAGGTGTGTCATTTGACTACAGGGCGAGAGAGTTAAAAATATACAGGCACAGCCGCAGCAAGATTTAAAAGATCTAACGAGATACCTCACTGCAGCTGTGGCTGATGAACACTCTGGACTTAACACTTTGCCATCACAAGAAACTTTAAAAATCTGTGGGATTAAACATTTTGGTGCAAAGTGATGCAACACTCCCCCAATACCCCCCCGGTCTTTTTAAAGCTGTAAGTGATTGCCTGAGTATTATTACACTCTCGACGGATTTAGTCAGAAAACAATTTTTAGAGCGAAACAAGCTCAGTCTTTGCTTTGAGCTGTGAGTATCAGGGCCTGTAGTTAGGGCCCGTGAATGATTTGTAAGCCACGACTCAAGATTGATAAATGTATCTAAGATGAAAAAAGAGAGTCCACGAAATTAACTTGTCAAAACAAAATACAGTATTGTACAGCCTACACAAGAAACATACAGTCCCTATGACAGTTACTTTGCTTAGGGAAGAATAAGGTCAATTTTGCTCAGGTTACTTTCTTGTAATTTCTTAGTCAAATGCTTTGGAGAACATGATGTGTTCTTTTGGTGCTTACCTTGCAGCTTAAGTAATGGTATTACTAATTCAGTGCTTCCGCCAAGCTCTGAAAGTCTTGTTTTTTTGTTCCTCCAGTGGCCAGCTGCAGGCTTAAGTCTTTTGCTTTCTCTTTAGAACATAGAGAACAAATACAGAAGTATTCTGCAGAAAACTCACTACAGCGCTGACATAGTTCCCATTTCAGATATTTGAACTACTTCGAAGCCCCAAATCTAGTTTACAACCGAGAGTCAGCAGCACAGCCTTATGAAATTGAATGAATCACCAAGATTATGGAATTCTTTAATTGCAACTTAAACTTTAAAAAAAATACTTTTTTTCTCTTAAGTTTAATCATGTTTTGCTATTTAAAAGAATGTTTTTCATTTTGGTTTTAAAGTTTGGTTTGCTGTTGCTCTTAATATGGTTTCTTTCATGGTAGGATAGGTGTCTAGTGTCAACCAAGATTCATTTTTAGCAAACCAAGTGCACAGTGCAACATGCCAACGATCTTCCAGACAGTGCTTGTTGACATTATCTCCTAGGTAGTTTCGCATAGTGACAGCTTTGATTTAATGTGATTACTTATTCAATTGCTTGTTCTGATGGCAGCATTCCCATCGTATAGCTTGATTGTGTCAGATCGAAGCAGAAGCAAAGCAATCTGGAGCCTTGTCAGTATAGGGAAAGGAAAACTGGATGTCCCCCACATTCCTTTTGGGCCAAATATCCAAACCAATCTCCTAGTATAGTGGTAAGAGACAAAGTGCTGTCTTTTCCATTAAACATTAAACTATGGACCAGAGTACTTGGTTATTCACCATGATACTGTTAGGAAGAGTAGGGGTGTGTGGTTTACCGGCTAAAACTCAATCTAAGCCAACATGGCCTACCTACAATTAAGCTAGTGAACCAATTGCTCATTTCACCAGCTGACATGCTGTGCAATGGAGTTGCTGGCAATTAATGTTACCATGTGTAACCCAGGTGGGTTCTGTACTTCAGTAGGACACTCCTATAGGTAAAGTGCTCTGTAGTCCTTTTAGATGAGATGTATTATATAAATATAGTAGTATATGCATTTTGTAATGCAGAACAACTGTGATAATACATTTCATATAAAGAGAAAAATACTTAATTGATAAACCATGCCTTATTTATGGAAAGTTTAAAATGCATAATTGGTTACTCTGTTCTACATATTGTTGAAGCCTAAAGACAAAAAATAAATTATCATTAGTTGAGAGGTACACAATGAGCTGTGATTTCAGCATAAGCAGTCTCTGCTGAGCCTCGGATCAAGCTACTGTATGTCTGCGACCTTTTCTTGCAGAGAGAGAATGCCATCCTCTGGATACTTATCAGATTTCTGTTTCAGTTCTTGCCTTTCTAGGATTTCTGTGAAATATGTGAATTAAAAAACACAAAGCTGAAGTATATTGGTTATAAAATACCATAAGCTATTTAAGGTCCTGCTTAATACATTTTTAATGAACACTCGTAGGGATGATGCACTGTGCACAGGTAGCACAGGCTTACTGGTCTGTCCTATGTGCTTTAAGAATTCTTTTGAGAATATTTTTTTTAAATATATTTTCAGAGAGTAAATCTTATCAAGGCAAATAACACCAAACTGAACTGATATGGTTGTCTAGGGAGAAGCAATAAAAAGTGTGTTACTGTTGGTAGGAAATGAAATGCCATGAAAATGCAGTTGCTGGAAGCTGAAAGACAGTTGACACACTGCAGCGGACTGAACACATCTTCAAAATGGCAGATTTGGCACAGCTGCTGGAAAAATGCTGTTTAGTGCAATCTTCAAAGTGAGAACTGTTTCATTGTCGCTAATCTGTTAGTACTAGGACGAAAGTATGTAAAACAAACCTCCTATTAATCTGGGCAGCAATTCCAAAAATAAAGTGTATAGAGTAACAGAAGCATGAAACTTTCAACACATTAGGAAAGTCTTGTAATGTGATTTTCAACTTCAATAAGAGAGCTGTTGCTAGTTGTGGCACCTATTCCATTTTGCCATCTTACTTAAGTTGCTATCTTACACCAGTTACTGGATGGATCTCAAGAAATTAGCTTCCAATACATTTCTTACACAAAGATAATATGTGTACTTTACAATTCTGAATAACAGACATAATGTAGGGCAGAGGGGGATTCTTTTGAGGTTGCCGTATAATTTTAGCTTCTTTTCTTAACAATTTTGAAGTCTGTTTTACAGTAGAACACTGGCTGGCTAGAATTATTGAATTGATGATGGCGGCATCTTTCTTTTTCTTACACATTGTATGATTTTAAGTTAAAGAGTAGCATGGCCTAAATAGTAGTGTGGATAAAACATTTATTAAATTCAGTAAGGATGAGTTGTATGATGACTG